ACTCTCTTCATTGTCTATGCAGTAAGCTATGACTGTAGAACCACACACACACTTGTTCGACCAAAGTAGATGCATGTATATACAGTCGGAGAATGATATCTCGATATTTTTCTTCTTCTAAGAATTTACCACTAATAATTGTTCACTATAGCAAGACAATTCGCGTGTACCGACCTTCTTTTTAAAGTATTCGTTGACAATCCCTGCCACCCGCATAAAATGGCGTATTTGACAGAATCAAGTAAGCCTTTATTTATCAGTGACAACAAAAAGTGAGTTCCTTCCAAACGAAGCCGTGCTCTTTTCACCTAATAAAAAATATTGCTATTTCTGTTCTGCATTCTATTTCAAGTATTTCTACTCACATAGATAAAGAGCATCATAAAAATTCTCACAAAAATAATTAAATTTCTCTGCATTCACCTGACACTCCATTGCATTCATGATCTTCTCGAGGTTTATTTTCTCTTCCTTTAAAACAAAATCTTTAATATGATTCATCAATACTGTGGCAGAAGAACTGTTTGTCACGCGTTCGCGAAGCCATTTGAATTTCTTGATATTTGTCAGAGCTGCCGTCGGGACCGTCAATGAGGCCTGCATGATAACATTTTCAAAGTAGAAAATACAACTTTAACCAACTTCAGTTCTACACATAATGTCACTTAACATCTCTTCCATAATTATATGTATTTTCCAATCTCTACTTTATAAAGAAGTCTTGGAAGGCATTAATGAACAGTATTGGCCAAAGCAACAAATTATGAAAAACTTGGTTACCATGGCAGAACTAGAAATGTCGATATCCACCGAAATTAAGTTACTTTTAGCCTAAACCTTTTTATAAAACAAGCATTTTGAGAATACAAAACTTTATTAAATTAGGAGATATCCTATTATTTTCGCGCACCTCTTGCTCTTGTTTAGACTCCTCCAGCACTGCCAACCTTAGTGCAACGCGTTCAACACTGAAATCCTCGTCTCTTTCCATCTCCTGACTTTCTCGACCTTGCACACTTCCTTTTTCACCTTCCTTAGATTTCCTGTTTTCTTGAATCACTTGAGACACCAAACGTTTCCATCGAGGAATCATATTGAGTAGCCTGAGTTTAGATAAAGCTGCCAATTCACCCGACACGGCAGGTCGTAGTATTTGAAGCAGGAAATGACATCTCTCCAGCGCGGGAATACACACTTCTTCATACGATCGGAAGGATTCTTGATGAGACTGAGGAAAAGACAATTCTCATGACAAATCTGTGTGTTGGGGTTAGAAGAACGGATGGACGAAAGAATGTAATAAAAAAGTATGAACTATACTAAAAGGTCTACCATATACACTGTGCTGTCGATTTGTCTTATATTTCGTTTTTGTCAGTCTTAGGGTACCTTGCTGTGCAGAGAGGTTTATTAAGAGGGGTTTGATACCGTAGAGAATATGACCTCGAGAAAAAACCCAATATCATTCCTATCAAAAAAGTTTCTTGGCATAATTTATCACAGTACACATCGACAATTTATTATACGAACCTTAATAAGATTACATTTGGCTTGATGAGTAACTCTTAAGACTTGCACTAAGGATGCTGGATAATGACTGTGTTCTGTAGATGACGACAATTCACCATCGGGTAATTTATCCAGGTCTTCATGTTCAATCAACGATAGCGCCATAGGAACTACAATGACAGAATAAACTTTGTTTACTTAATACGTCGTACTGTAGTTCAGATAAAAAAATGGAAATGAATCATAAATCCTCTCGAGGCTAATGATATTAAACCTTCGCCTTTGATGTCGCTCACAAGACTGTAGTGGGGTATTTTACATACCAAGTTCCTGATGTTTTAACAAGCAAGCAAGGAACAACCGTCCAAATTGTTCGATAGGATGATCAGCAGGAAATTCAAGTGGCATTATTATTTTCTTTACATGACAACAGCGTTTCACCAACGAAAGAAACTTCTCAACGCTGTTGTCTTTGAAGTTTTCAGACAGGTTCGTTATGAACATTTTAACGGCATCAGAATGTGGAGCATGCGCACCGTCACGATGAGTTCTCTTGAGAATTTTCTGGAAACTCTTCTGTCCGCTAAGGTAAAGCAATGTCATACGAATCACGTGTCTTTACAATGACACGCATGCTGTAACTATACATTTATTGCAAGTTAATGAATGTAACAATTAATCTCTTGAATGAAACATTTTGAACACCAAAGAAACTGTGTGGATACAGTATATTCTCAAAGGGGCATTAAGTAAGATAGCCTTACTGATTTTTCATGTCGACCAGTTATATCGCCAACAACCGAATGTCTAGAAACGCGCACATGCATTTAAGAACTACAAAATCCAGGAAGAGATCTCTCCTGAAGTTGATCTCCCACAAAAAAACACAAACTTGAAAAAGGGGCAAGCAATGTAACTTATTGTTAGTTGTACATTAACAGAGAGTGAATTGTGAAAGTGACTGTTTAATAGTTGAGTACCCTAAAATTGAGTACCCTAAATCCCAAAATTAACAAAACAATAAAAACAAGCTTACCCCTCATTTTTCTTGTCTTTTGCTTGTGGGACTGCATAACATGTCTCTAGACCTCCAGCGAAGAAATCACTTGTCAACCATGGATCACAATCTTCTTCATCAGCAGTCATTGCTATTCCCTGGCACAGTAGGTGGGCATGGTGACCAAGAAGAAAGGCAAGTGAACGTTCTGTGTCTAGTAATGGTGCCAATACTGATGGTGCTACATCACATTGGGCTTGTTCTTCCTGTTATAATGAACATAAGGTGATACGAATCACTACTATTTCACTTAATGCAATAAGATGTGAATCACACCTTTAAATCGTTATAACACAATGTTAATTTGAATATTTACGACAAACCTCCATGTAAACACCAACACAAAATGCCTGCATCATGTCTCTTGCTTCACTCGAGTGACTGGCTGCTTCAAATGCTTCTGTAGCGTCTTGAGCTAAAAAATAACAAACCAACAAATAAAATGATTTATATTCTAATTCCACATTGGAGGTATAATACTCTTCTTCGCGATCTGAAATAAAAGGCTTTTTTCAAGAAAATTGGCGCGGAAAAGATAAGAGTAAAAGTTGAATAAACGATCGAGATCGTAGCAATCACCTGCATATTTGGATAAAAGTTCTTTTCCACACGGTGCCTAGCAAGCAAAAAACAAGCGTTATCACTCAAACATTTATGGTATAGTACATATAGGGCTATTGCATGTTTAATCACGTACTAATTACAAGGCGGACAGACTAAATAATAGGTTTACAAGATCCATACCCAAATTCCCATACCCAATGTAAATTGTATTATAGCAAATATCGGAATCAAGGATTTAGCATAAGCCAATAAATTTGTATTCACTCTTGCATATTTAACGCAACCGTCGTTGCAACTGCTAAGGGGGTCAAAACTTGCTATATCATTAACATACTTGATCTTTGAATTCTTGTAAATCAAAAACTTTGCCATGAATAACAACCCACATTCCACCTTCTTTATTGTGATTTTCCAGATCAGCTTTTTCAATCACAACTTCGGCAGAATTGTCGAAACTCATTGACGATGAACTCCCTAATATACCAACAAACAAATGAAGTTATTTCTTAAAAAATTCAAGATATAATCATTTTCTTCTTCTAATGCAGGTGTGGATCGCAATTTAAAGAACTTACAAACCACATAGTACATATATAAAAAAAACACATCACTGCATCCAGCATGCAGCAAAAAACGCAACCAAAGAATGCACTTCTTTATAAACGCTATACTTTAGTTTAGTAAATTACTGTCAGTGAAGTCCTAAACAAACTAATGCACCGGGTGAATGAACAATACTAAATATTCTCTCTCTCTCGGAAGCCATTCTTTTAGATTATTTAAATTATTGTGTAATTACCTAGACCGCCTGGCCAAGCCAAGTCTTCACCGTCTTCCAGGGCTATGTTTGGTACCAATTTATTAAATTTATCTAACAACTCCAGGAGATCCCGTAAAACAGGGAATACGGAGGAAAGTCCAGTTCTTCTACCAATATGTGTGTGAAGTAGTAAGAGTGATGTTATAAACTCGGGGAGTAATACGGCAGGCACTTCTTGTTCCATGATATGAGAGATGTGTGGAAGAAGATTTGCAGTATTTGCATAGTTGTGAGCTTGAACTAAAACTTGAGTGACATGACAACACAATAGCTGGATGTACTTGTTAAGAAGACTAAACGAGCCTCGAAGTTGCTCGTCCTGAAGTTCTAAAACAAAAAAGAAAACAAAAATTGAAACTGGAACAAGATAACATAAAATCGGCTAGCATGCACCACCGTGCACAGGGTGGCCTACAATTAATATTAAAGATAAAGATGTCAAATAGATTTTCCTTGTCTTTTTAACAGTTTTAAAATCGAATGTTTATCTTGCTGTCTTTCATAATATGTTCTGACTTCTGAATTAGAAATCGATTATCGTGATCATGATACTTAGCCACACCTCATCACATGCACTCTATGCGTTCACTACTAACAATATATACACAATCTAACATCAATCCTACATGATTAATCCTTAATTACATCTATTAGATTTATCGATGGTTTAATATTACAGTATAGGCAATAATACAGAAATGTTGATATAAGATACGAACAAAGCTGGTCATTTTTGTGGTAGACGTTTGTTTTCCCATTGAAACAGCTATAATTCATGCACCTCACACGAAGGCAACGAAAAATGCACTGTTAACAAGCAATGAGCTAATTAGACACACCTTTATCACCGCCGTTTGATTCACGATCCGTCATGAAGATCGTTAAAATGCAGCCAACAAATAATCTTTGCAGTTTTAACAACAACTCCATAATTGCATTACGATTTCTTGTCTTATTGTCCTCAACTGGCGCATCGGATCGCGTTTTATTCGCATGAAAACGGGATAAGCATTTGTCGACACAGGTCCTGAGAAGTTCACGCGCCAATTGTAATAAAGGCGTACTGTTCGATATGTCTGAAATACCACCAGGGTTGTCGTTTTTGTCCTGGGACAATTCGCTTTTTACGGCATTTTGAAAAGCTCTTTCCAAATTGCCCTCAACCATGAGACTTTGAATGAGAAGATCTATCATGAAATCACGACCAGAGCCTGTATCTGTGTTATCACTGGAACCTAAGAAATGAACAACAAAATTTACCACGGAATATAGAGATCATGAATATGCACCCCTCAACCAATTAAGCTTCTAGCGACGGCCTGGCAACAGTGTACTGTTCTTCTAGCTGGTACTGTCAAAAGCATTCTTCTCATTTTTAATTTGTTACTTTATATATAATCAGGGGTGGATCCAGCACTAGTGCACTAATTTGCATGACACAAGAAAACTGCTCAAAACAGCCATTTTGTTTTGTAATGCAAATTAGTGCACTAGTGCTGGATCCACCGAAGTATATACTTGGTTTGTGGTTAGAAGTTCACAAATAGAATTACTTCAGTTGATAACTTACGGTGATAACTTACCAAGTTTCTCAGCAAGTAGTTCTGATAATGTCTTAGCTCTTTCCTCCGTAGTCGGTAGAAGTAATGACCATCCACTGTTTAACGTTCCCTTGGCAGCATCTTTGACAGTACTCAAAACACCTTTACTTACAGCTAACATGACAACTTGCTGTCTTAAAGACTGAAGAAGTTTACTGCCAGCACCAAGACCAAGTTCATCACCACTCACACCTTCACGAATAGCTGTATGAAACTAAGAATATATTACAGTGATATTAGCTGACATGCGGCTTTTGAGATTTTAAACATTTGCGTTAACCATCATGCTGTAGATGACAAAAGAAGAGTGCAATTACAAATGTAAAATAAATATAAATAAAATATTATACACATAGATACCTGTAGTCGCAAAAGATTCAATGCGGCAACGGCGATACATTCTTTCTCCTGAGCGGGTGGTGGCCAATCTCGTGTGCCATCTAAATCCTCGCTCACTCTTCGCAACAAAGCATCCAGATGCTCAAAAGTCGTTTTTGTAACATCGACAACATATGGAGCTTTGAGACCAGCGCAGGTGTTCTTCCCACTTGACCATGCGAAACTCTGCAAAATAAAACCAAGGATACTTTCGTAACGGGAAATTGAAGACGCAGTAATTATGTAGGCTGTCACTGTCACTGTCACAAGTAATGATGATGTAGTCGAGTCTACCTGAGCTGGACCACAGGCAACATATTGAAACAATGTTCCTTCACTTGCTTGTACTTCAGTAGGAGTATCTTTCGCCTCTGAGCTTGATATCCCCAGTTGTCCTTTATCATTCCCACCCCAGGCATACACCTTGCCTTCACCTGTCAATGCAAGACAATGAACTGAACCCAAGGAAATATCAACGACCTCCTTTCCTCGCAACGCTTCGATCACTTTGGGAAAACGGCAGTGTTCATCAGAGCCATGTCCAAGCCTAAAATCATCACCTTTTCCCCTGAAATAAATAAAAAAACATTACCGTTGGCGCACGAGCAGAATTGGTATATGTATATCCAGGCCTTAAACAACAGTTCACTCACCAGGTCCATATATTTCCTTCTTTAGTAAGAACGAGAGAAACTTGACCACCGCAAAGAACTTTAACAACATGTTCAGTCTGGAATTTATCAACTAATTTCGGCGATTTGCAACTATCACTTCCGCCTCTTCCAAGTTTACCATAGTCACCATCACCCCACGACCATACCTTACCTGATGAGCAAAAACATAACTCCAGTTGAATGAATTTGAATGAAACATATTTAAACGGTGACCAAAATGAGACGACCTACCATCTTTCGTGACAGCTAATGTCTGGGCATCGCCACTACCACAAGCAACATCAACAACATGATGACCTTTAAGACCACTCACCAGGGTTGGGACCAACACATCTTCACTATTGCCTGGAACGAACCATACAACGAAGGGCCGTAAGGGTTGATTTCCACTTACAGAGAAATTATTAGTTATCAAAATATTTGCACGTTCAATTTGAATTTTGACTGTATAAATGAATTACTCCATAAATGAAGTACAGCATTTGACTGAAGTGGAAATTTTAGGAAGTAGAAAGTAGAAATTCATCCTAAGGGCCTGTTTACATGGAGCGAGTTATCCCGGCTAGGCGAGGTAAAAAGCGCATCACATGAAAGGCTTAACCTTATTAGTCTTTCATTATATACAGTTTTCACCTCGCCCAGCCGGGATAACTCGCTCCATGTAAATAGGCCCAAAGAAGCAAAACAAATGTATAGTGATGCATGTAATGTATAGTAAATACGATACTGTCTTACCATGGCCGAGTCGACCATAATTCCCACGACCCCAGGTATATAAATTTCCTTCAGCAGATATGGCAGCACTGTGCGAACTTCCACAGCTTATTCCAACGATATTTTTACCAGACAGAGCAGTCACAAGAGTTGGTTCTTCTCGAGAACTAAAAATATTAAGAACAAAACAGGTTTTCTTGTCAAGTTGGCATTCTCTGGCATGGTGAACAACCTTTCCCTGAAAGCATTTAGATTTTGATTCTTTTCGCCAACGGTGTTGTACATACCGTACAATTACCGTGGTTACAATACAAGTAGAATCAGGTTTACGTGTTGTACTGTAATGCTCGCTGGACAGGAATGCTATAATCAGGGGCCGGTTGTACCTGTGGTACATATGAAAAAATAGGTGACTGTGTAATAAGTGAGTGACACCAATCTGAGTCGAGTATTTCTAAGTTTAACTACGATTCCTGCAACTACTGAGAATGTATAGTTACGTATACAAAAAGGTTTTTACTAACGGCTGCTGGTCATGAAAAATGAATAGACTTACCAAGCAAAATAGAGGCACGAGAACAATCAATAATGAAATTCACACATTTAATAAGGAAGTAAAGTTTCAGTAATGAATATTATATAGGTTATACAATGCACTATTGCACGTGTGGGAAAATATATTATATGAAATTGATAACACATAAAGTTCATGTACACTCTGTACTGTATACGGCAATAGATAGTTAATTATGTCAAGATAAAACGAGCTACTTACTTAGTATCTCCAAGTCCAAGTGCTCCGATTTCTCCAGACCCCCAACTATAGACCATACCTACTTTGCTCAAAGCCAAATAATGCCTTGCGTCGGGATGAGATGCGAGTTTAATAATTTCAGCTTTACCCGCAAGAGATTCGAGCAAGGTAGGAACCTAGAGGGGTAGAATGAAACAAAATCTGATGTAGGCAACTTTTAAACAGTGCTCTCACTGTCTCACAATTTTAGTATGCATACTTTTTACTGTGGGGAAGGATGCTTTGAATGCATGACTGGGACAAAGAACATTTGAGAAATATATCAAATAATTGTCTTTTTTAATTAATAGATAACTATATTACCTGTTTTTCAGCATTATAAAGTTGAGAGTACACCTTGCCATCATGTGTCAGTAAAACAAACGATCTTTCACCACAACTGATTTGTTTCACATTAAGATCAATGAACGCCCGAGAATGAACAGGTGTCGTGGAACAACCATTGTTTGAAACACCGACGAATCCCCAGCTGTACACGTTTTGAGAACCATTTGATTGCACCTAGATAATTGAGGAAAGAACAAGTATTATTTTAATCATTGTTTTTATCATTTCATTCCACTAGCATGCAGCTCAGTTTAGTAGTTCAAATATACTTCGGAACAGGAAATCTGCACAGTCATCGACCCGTCTGTAGGTGGAAAGTGATGAAAGTGGAAACAAAATCATTCTTCTCAGGAAAGAAGTTGGAGAAAAGGCGCCGAAATAAATCAAAGTTTAGTGTTGATATACAATAATTACTTTAACCCAACATTGCTGACAATGTCCGGGGAAATATGACAGTAACATCTTTCTTTGTTATACTGTAAGACACTTTAAAAAAAACCCTTACTCCTGAAACATTTTTTGAAGGTAAATGAGACGTTGAAAAGCTATCAAGATATGAAAGTATCGTAACAGCAACTTGTTGAACATCGAGTAATTCCAAATCGTCTTCAGGCAATGATGCATAACGAAGAAAACATTCCGTTGGACTGATTACTGGAAGAAACGAAGGTGATGCCTAGAAACGATAAAAATTTCATTAATAAAAGCATAATCTGTAAATAATATTTAATCAGGAAACCTTTTCGTGTAAATGATATTTAAGAATAAAGTTTCAAAGGGCGTCTATGACCTAGACTCTGAACTATACAAAAGGTACAAACCTCGTCCGATATTCGTGGAGCGCCTACTTTGCAGTAAGATTCAGAGAGTCGTTCGAGACGTTTCAATATCGGATTCAGTGGAGCCGTGGTACACGAAGAGTTCTTCTCGTTATCTTGCCCACGATCCCACAGACGGAGTAGCAACAATACTGACTCCAAGATGTGGTTTAATGATCCTCGTTGGAAAGCTAATTCAAGAAAAATGCCCAAAGCCATGTGTTGATCCATTATGGGTACATTGTCCAAAGTTCTGTATAGAATACCACCTTCATTGCTTCCTCTAGAAAGAGTAGTGACAGTATAAAAATTTAAATATTGATACATACACATGCACCTACAGGTCATATAATACTGAAGTCTAATTGTTTGTCGTGACAATTCAACCATTCTGGGGCAACTTTTCTTGTACTTTATCATTCACATTTTTATAGCAATCGGTAATATCGGATCATAGACAATAAATTTTGTTCTCGCATGTCCCACTTCAAACATTATTCTTCCCTAATTATGTGTAATACCGTGATAATAAATAATATGTAATAATAGTAAGGAGTGGGAATAGGCTAGGTTGCTATTACTACCAACCAGCTTATATATAATATGATATTCTTACAGTGATGTGCTGCTATCTACTGTACAGTATATACACAGGTTTTATAACAAACATTACCCTGATACAACAGCTTTAAGAAACATTGATACTCTTTCAACAGTATCGATCCACACGGGAGAGACAGCTTCTTCGTTGAATAACAAACATTCTGGTAGACTCTGCAAGGCTTCGTGAGCGTCCTGAAGGAACTCGCGACATATATCAGCATCTTCGCCTGACTTCCACGCTCGACGTAAAAACGCACAGGCAAACGAAAATGCGGCACGTGCACCAATGTGCGCCAGACCAACTGCTGAAGATGCAAGTTGTTTTGGGTGGTTCTGGGAAAATAAAAAAGCAAAGAAATTCAATTTAAAAGTTCTATTTGTTATTTCAGTTTGAAGGCTAGATAACGCTATCCAGCGGATAGCAGTTGGATAGTAATTTTATTTACCGTTGTAGAAACCACAGATGAGATAACGTACACTCAATCACAACTGAGATATACATACTGTATCTCATGTGTCGTAATTAACAATTATCGAATGAGGTTGAACATGATATGAAGAATTATCAAACCAAAGTTTGTGGTTGAACATAATGAAACGTGAATAAACTAAAGAAATGGAGCATTCAATGTTAATAGTGAATAGTGAAGCTCTACTTTGAAGGTTTTAAGAAAATTCTATGGTTTAATCTCGTGTTGGTCCAAATTCTCAAAAAAAGTCCTACAGTACTTGTGCAGCCCATATTGTCAACTGGGGCCAGTTGTTGGAAAGGTGGATAAAGTTATCTACTGCCGCTGCTATAAAATAAATTTCAACTTTGAAATTGGTAAGTTCAATCTTGGTCATGCTAAATGGTGATAACTTTATCCATCTTTTAAACAACCAGCCCTAGCTTTCTTTCCAAAACTGAGAAACATTTAGGTTTTGACCAAATATGGGGAATTTAGTGATGTTAAGTATTCACCTGGAATTTTTTGTGTTTTTCTGAGAATTCTTCGTATCATCATTTTGTGTAAAACCACACCCAGACAAACTACTAGAACTAGATATATATGCAATATAATATCTCTCAAGTACGAGTAGTCTTTGATGCAATCGTACAGAAGATGGTGTTGATTTTGAGGCTTGATGGATTAGCTCCAATTGTTCTGTCATTAATGAACGAACGGCTTCTGTTAGACCTGAGATTGTTGGCTGTTCACCCCACGTCCAGGAATCGATTATTTCATCTGAATCTCGGCAGTTCTTTCCTTCTTCCTCTAAAGTGTTATGTCCAGAACAAGCACAACTTGTGCTACCCCTTGCCTCACATACATTTGATTTTGTCAACCCATTACCCTCGTTTTTGACTACATCCTCTTTTTCATTCCCATTGTTTGCCAATCTCAAATTATTGGCAACTTCACCATCTTTTACGAGTTCATTCCAAAATTTACTCAATCCATTGGCAGTGAATGCCTCCTAATAACGAATATACAATGTAAAGTGTAATATGATATCAGTGATGATGCATCCTGTTTAGTTATAGATAGAAATATAATTATATACATGCATAGGAACTTAGATAATGTGGAAGAAGCTACTGTATTTTATGATATAAGGCAACAGAGTAAGGTGTATTCATTCAATTTCCACTAAAACTGGTTGGACGTTTGTACAGTAACTGATTCTGTGATGGATGCAAACTAGTTTGTTCAACTACTTGGTTTAGTGGTATAGGTACTCCAATCTCAATCAACATAGATTGTAGAAAACGGATACACTTAAACCCATTTTCACCTGCTATTTGTGACTTCATCAATGAAAAGACACATAAAATTGCAGCAAGAATGTAAATGTAAATGCACTTGAAGGCAGGGGAGTTACTTAACAACCAAGCCCATCAGTTGGCTAAAGACAGGTGCTAACAATGTGATTTTTATATGAATGTATTTCGATCCTGTTCATTATTTTAGTTTACAAAGCTACATTCCCAGGTGCAATGTCAAATTTGCCTGGGTGCAATATATGCAGCATCATATCCCAGTTATCTCTTAAGCTAACATTGGTTGCCACTTTGTAAGGCTGCGTAGAACCTAGAATCTCACATCTTAGCAATGTCTCTCAATGCTGATTGTTCATGTATACTGAATAACATAACATAAAATGAAATAATAAAAACATGTATGCTATAAAGTGAAGGTTGCTGACATAAAAAAATATGGCGTTAAATGTTTATTCCTAATAACTAATAAGTTCAATTTCCACTTCACGTATTCAGTTCATGAATCTAATCCTAAGAAAAGCAGTTTTATTCTTCCTCTTACCTGTAAATCTATTTTCAACCATTTCGTGTCATGTACTGCTTGTGGCCGAAGAGGAGAACTGCTGCATGTATTCTTGCCTTTGCCAGACATACCAGAAGAGGTATTTGTGAAACGTTTACATAATTAATAATCCAATGTATTACTGCATATGTTATTGCACATAATTCTTAGAGATTTTATTTATGTCTGGACAGAAAAGTAAAAGAATCTTTTGCCACAAAAGTCCTTACTTATGAGTCGTACAACACATACACTGGACAAAGATCAGTGGCAAAATCAAAATATTATGGATATACAGGATTAGTGGTGATTGCTGAGTGATGATTACGGACAGGCGATCGACAGTGACCATCATATCCCCAAGTATCCTCCAAATCAAGTCTGTGGTTACAAGTTTCTATCTCTGTATCAGTTTCAAAAGTAGTAAGAACACTTGTAATTTAGAGCGAAAATAGCTGTAAAGTATTTATGACTGAACTATCAGTTGTTCAAACCCGCTTTCCCCTCGTGGCCCCGTATATTGCCTACAATATGTCCCAAGACTTTTAATTTGAAACAGATCTACGCTCTGTTTCGAAGGTAGCTATTAGGTGAAGAAAAACCAGATACCTCTAGAAGTCAAGAAATTCAAGAGACAGATTAGAAATCAAGAAATAAGAAATATCGATATACGATATTTTTTAGAAGTTTGAATGGTTCATGAACAGAGGTTCTGTTCAGCCTCGTACCCAGGCGCTTCAAACTATATATTAAAATGTAATAAGTAATCATATTACAGTATCATATAGAGTTCAGTTAAAAACGCGGAAAACGGGGGGGAGATATACCCCCCGTTTTCCGCGTTTTTAACTGAACTCTATATGATACTGTAATATGATTACTTATTACATTTTAATATATAGTTTGAAGCGCCTGGGTACGAGGCTGGGTTCTGTTGGCTTTATACTGCCATATTCTGTCATACAATTATAGAATGGTTTGCGCATAAGTTTAAAGTTTTCGTTTTTCGTTTTTATTAATATTGAATATGTCTAAAAAAGATCAGTGTGTCATCTGATTTATTAATTATTAGTCTCGTAATTGATTAGAATTATTCAATATTCACTAATATATTGCTTTAATTTCATGAACGAATTATCATAATGAAATTTGGTACGATGACTACGATCGTATCGAGCGACGGCTTATAAAAGGCGTTACTTGCATTTGACTAATTCACATATTCAGAACTACAAAAGTTGAAGAAAGTGAAGAAAGTCAGAAATGAAAATCTGTAACTTATACATTTTCTTTTCTGTTGCTGTGTTGGTGATGCCAATTTTGAAAGCTCGCAGCTGGCTCAATAAGGGTTGGATATTGGATATTTCGGGTGATGGCAGAGTAAGTGCACGACTCATCTGAATTCATCATATATCGTCATTGGCGCAGCCAGCCTGACGAATTTGTCCGGCCGCGATGTAAATTTCAAGTTATTATAATTATTGATGTATTTACAAATTTATTGTTTTCACAGTTAATAAACAGCAAAATAGTGAAAGTTCCTAAAAATATATACATGATTAGTATATACCGTCCTTTTATGAATGCTTGAAAACTATGAGCAATCCAAGGTATACAAATTAAACGAACTATTTAGTGAACGATCTTGACATGAACGAAACTATCATCATTGCATAAAGAGAAATTTCGGGTAGCAAAACCTCCTTAATATGAGGGGGGGGGGGGCGTCTCTCCATTCATAATTCGTAAACAGATTGTGCAATATCAATGTAGAAAACTGTTTCTTGTTTTTTTTGTTGTTGACCATTCTCATAAGCACCTGTTCAGTTTGACAATACACGCACCCCTCATAAACAGCCATGTTCTTTAATCATGTACATTATTTCAGCAGAGGTACACATTATTTCTGTCATGCACATTATTTCTGTCACTCTCCACCTTACGACCTACGTTCTTACTTTAGTCGCAACATGATGGTTGTACAATGTTTCAGCAACCATGTTCGGTACACTCGGACTGTCAAGGAGGAAAATGCAAAAATCTGATATGTGGTGCGGAATTGATGTGTCACACAGAGAGAAAGTGTATTGAAGCCGATTTTTTTGCACCAAATTGTGGAAAATAATAAAAACTGCGAAAATTTCTATCATGCATATGGAGTGTATTTAATAAGCATTAAACAGTCGTCAATAAAAATTTTTAATTGTAAAAAAATGTGTGTACAATACCTTATATGTGAAAATTTAGGCTATAATTGGAGCATCATGGTGCGGGTGTTGGGACGGTTATAGTTACGTCAAATATCGCCAAAGAGAATCTGTCCGTCCTAGTTACACATTGCCAATCCATCTCACTGCTGAATTGTAGAAAAATCAAATGCCTTATAATTTAACAGTTCTCAGCAAGGATGATGCTTGAGGCAATGGAATCGTTAACTTGATCCTTAAGTCAGTTGCAAGACAAAAACATTTTTGCAAGCACAATTATAATATGCCACGCATATTATATACTTCTATCATATACAATTCTAAAATGTTTTGCGCACAAGTTGTAAGCGAGAATAGGATAACTCAGCTGATGAATATGCATCTAACAACTGACTGCAAGATTCCCAAATAATTCCCATTTGGCAAGTAATTTTTTCACCTTGAAACATGCCAAGACTGATGTGCATTTGAATAATTTAATAATGGGTTTTTAAGATTTAATAATTTCTTCCTTGACTTTTGGCCTAGGCGTACATGTATAATTTTCAAGAAAAGAAAATTTGAAAAAGAAATAAAACTGACTTGTCAAAGTTATTAGCTAAAACAAAAACGTTAGTGCCGTACGTACAGTTACAATCGCTAAAAATGAGCTAAAATCTAAATTTAGGTGTTTACGCTATACTGCACGTCCACGGGAGTTTTACCCCTAAACGTATGATAACATGAGTGCTTTAATATGATCTGTCAACTGAAAAAGTTCTAGGCACAGATATATCGTAATCATCAACATATATCGTAACAGATAGATGTTAATGAGTATATCTGTCAGACGAAGATTCGACATTCGAGTGACTGGCGGATACGCAGAAATATCATAAATTGCATCTATTCTTTAGGGTTCGTCCACTAATGATATGCATATCTTTCATTGCAAACACGATGCATGGTTCCTAATAAATAGCAGCTATGAGTGTGTCAGAATCATAGCTATGAACTTTAACTATAGTTACTTGTCATCTTATCTATACAATTTCTTCGACTGCATGCATCCTTCACACACATTATATCAGTTTTATCTATCAATATGGCATGCAACTTGCCACATAACGTCATAAGATTGACATTTTCAGCGGGTTGCAGAAGAATCGAAATAGAGTTCAATTTTTCCCGGATATCCAATATTTTTCTAAATTGATTACCTGTTCTTTGCAATATAACAACTGAACAGGATGCGCATTAATCGGCTTATTTGTTTGAATTGTGATAAAAAAAAATTTCGTAATTGCATGAACGAATTTTCATAATTAAATTAGTTGCGATCATATTGAGCGACGGTTTATAAAAGAAGTTAAAACTAAAGATTCAAGTTTTTCTTATACACCCAATGTACATGTTTTTTAAAAATGTCTCTGACGGAAAAGAAAAATTGCAAAAGAAATCCGTCAGGTGCAGCAAAGAACCCATACCCATGCAACTATCGTTCTATAGCTACGCCAATGGGAACATTATATTAAATGTTAATAATCAAAATCTTATTTATTAGTCTCATAGTTGTACAGTATAAATATTCAATATTCACTAATATATTGCTTATTGCCAATATTGGTGTCATGGTTTAAATTGTGATCAAATAATTTTATTCTTTATGAACGCCGAATTATCCTAATTAAATTTGTTACGATCATATTGAGTGAAGCCTTATAAAAGACGTTATACTTGAGTTTAACTAATTCAGATATCTAGAACCACAAAAGTATATAGAAGAGAGCGAAGAAAGTCGGAAATGAAAATCGGCAACTTATACATTTTCCTTTTTGTTGCTGTGTTGGTGATGCCAATGCTGATGGCCCACTCGCTTGAGAGTGCGGTTAGCCGCGTAAGTAACTTAACTTTCACATGCATATACCGTAATACTGGGGGTTTTTGAAAAGAAAGAAGATCACTGTCCTTCTATAAACACTACAAAACTTGGTGATAAGATTGAGTTTAACACAAATTCAATGGAAAACAAATAAAACGAACGATTCAGTGGGTGAACAATCTTCATCATCATTTCATAAACACATGCAGGTGTGTATTGGAAAAAAGGTGACTCAGTCTTCCTTAAAAATTTTAGTTGCGATGGAGGAGGGGCGTCGACCTTTTTATAATTCTTATTTGATCTTAGGAGAAACGTGGTTCTTGCGTAACGTCGTGGAGGGATTGTTCAGAGGTGCGCTGTTGTAAAAATCTGATATGTGTTATTATGAATTGTGAAGGAGAAAAACAGTGTGTTCCTGCAAATTTCAACACACCGAGCATTTCCTGCAAGAACAATATAAAGTTTTAAAATCTTCATCATGCATATGAAGTGTATTTACTCAGCATTAAACATTCAATAAAAGTTCTTAATCGTATAAGTAAATGAGTGTATGATATTCATCAATCATCATTGGGAGCGTTATTGCGCGGGTGTTTGGAGTCGGTCAAAATATACCATGCAGTCAATCTCATGCAAAGCAGGATCTCCTTTACGAATTAATTCAACCAACGGTCTAACAGTGTATGTCCACCGAGATTACCATGGTTTTATTAGTTTAGTAGGCATTGCATTAAATCATCAATTGCGCAAATATATACCGTAATAATTGTTTTATTTAGCTGCATTTGGTACTTCGACCCACATGTTGGGTACTGATTATCTTGACGGTTGATAATTTTTTGACACGGCAAAAACTCAAAGTATCACATGTGCAGAACACTCTTTAGGATTCGAGTTATTATAGTATAAGCTACTTCTAACTTTCATTCTAACTAACATTCAAACTTCGAATTCTCTGGTTGTATATTATTGTTCGATTCCTATTTTAAACTTTTGCCATGGTTTATTTATTTCCTCTTCTCTGATGCAAAAAGGCAGAATATATATCAATGAGCTATATGACCTCATACATGATTGAATCCATGTTGTGACCAAATCGCCCACTTTCTACTGCAGGACAATCACGATGACTTTGTATTTTATACCGTCAAAGCATAGCAGCAAACATTTCCACCGCAAGCGCCCTTTGCGTCCCTCCCCCCCACTGGCGTTCTCAAAAATCCCTCCAACGTCCTCCTTCTGCCCGACACTAATACCAACTTATACCAAAGAACTGCGTGGCATTCACTTGGGGTAACGGAGTCACTAACGGACTACCAACTTATATGAAAGTGTAAAAACAAAACAAAATTAAGATTTTTAAATTAATTTCAAATTTTTTGAGAATATTCAGATGTGCCTTGGACGTTGTTTGTCATCCGAAAAAGCTATAGATGGAACTTACTATAGATTGTAATAGCATCTGTCAAACTAAAGATTCTAGCATGTGTTATCAGTGCAGCCATGGAATATGTGTCCCTGAAAATGTAAAAAAAACTGGACTTATTCGTCTAGATGATATGAGTTTTATTATATAAATCTTGTATTTCGATTATAGTCTCATAGTTGATTTTAAATATTCAATATATTGAATATTCAATATGTACTCACTAATATAATGCTTATTGGTTCGAATTGTAATCAAATAGCTTTTAATTTCATAAACGAATTATCATAATTAAAATTTGTTACGATCATATTGAGCGACGGCTTATAAACTGAGAAGTTAGTTGATTTCGACGAATTCAGATATATATAATATACAAAAGTCGAAGAGAGTGAAGAAAGTCAGAAATGAAAATCTGTAACTTATACATTTTCGTTCTTGTTGCTGTGTTGGTGATGCCAATGCTAAAAGCTCGCGGCTGGCTTAATAAGGGTTGGCCATTCGATTTTGGTAGCGTAAGTGACTTTTATCATATACGAGGCTCTTTTCGTCCTTTTATGAATGGTAGAAAACTAAGTGGAAATACAGATAAATAACTGACAAATAACTACTATTCAACTAAGAACCTAGCTTTAGAGTTTGACCGCAATACACCGCAGACTGCAGCCCGAAATCACATCGTTTCAGCAGAGGTTTTGGTTGGGTGAAGTTCATTTTTAAATGAAATACTGGCTTTCGAGTTGAATTCGTTTATGAATTACAGTTTGATATACTTTTCCATACAATATCACTTTTAACCTTCAATGTGCACGTGACAATTATACAGTTTAAACTTTTATTGTAAGTTTGTAACTGAATATTTTTTACAACCTTCTTTCGTATTTTAGCAGCAACGTGATGGTTGTAAAATGTTAAAGCAGCCATGTTCGCTACAGTCGGACTGTCAAAGAAATAATTGCAAAAATTTGAAATGTGCTACGGAATGGACATGTTTTGGAGAAAGAAAGTGTGTTGAAATAGATTATAGCAACCCAGGGGTTTGTGGAAAATAATAAAAACTGCGAAAATGTTTATCATGTATATGGAGAGTATTCAATAAGCATAAGACAGGCAATAAAAGTTAATTCTTAATTGTAAATGAAAGTGTGTACAATACTCTATCAAGATTTAGACATCATTGGACGACTGACCAAAGTCATTTTGTCTTTGTGTTCAATTGTTACAATTATTCATGACACTCATGACCCGTCCTTGCATGAGATCAGTCAAAATTAATAATGTCTTGAATAAACTGCGCGAAATGGGAAATGTGACAAATTTGGGAATCTCGCAGTTTTTTAGACACATTCAATAATATTAATCAGATGAGTTAACCTATTCTAGCGCAAGCCATTTAAAAATGAGAGCACAATGATGCTGTATAGCTTTGATTTTATTGCAATTTCTCAGAAGCTTGAAACATACCATAAAACCCAAAGAGACACGCATTTAATGGCCGGGTTTTAAGGATTGTCACCATAAAAAAATCAACCAGCCAGTGAAATGGCAGATTATATGGCACTTATACTAGAGCAGCATCAGGGTGATTGCAAATCTCAGAGACCACGGAGCCAGGGAGGCTAGGGGGGCTTCAACCCCCCAATAATTTGCAGACCGAACGTTTGGATGACTATGGCAAACATGGCGGCAGTCGACTTATGCATTTATTTTCCATGAGCCCCTCCCCCAATATAAAAATGCTCCGCGGTCCCTGAATCTGTCAAACGAAAGATTTAAGCACGTGCTATACACCCAATGCACGAGTCCTTCGGATAAAAAGATCACTCTGACAGAAATGAAAATGTAAGTATTCGTCTGGGTCATGCATCTGATTTTTAGGACATTGTTGCTATTGTTATTGATCAAAATCTTATTCATTAGTGTCATAGATGATTGTAATATTCAATAATCACTTATCTCATTAATATATATTTTTTTGGTTTCATGGTTTAAATTGTCATCAAATTATTTTATAATTTCATGAACGAATTATCATAATGAAATTTGTTACGATCATATATGGAGTGACGGCTTATAAAAGACGTTACTTGAATTCAGATATCCAGAACTACAAACGTCAATGAGAGCGAAGAAAGTTAAAGATGAAAACCTACAACTTACATATTTTCTTTCTTGTCGCTGTGTTGGTGATGCCAACGCTAAAAGCTCGAGGCTGGATTAATGAGGGTGTGACATTTGATTATGGTAGCGTAAGTGACTTTCATCATATTTAACCGTAATATATGCCTACTGAGAGTTTCAAGAAAAATGTTATATGATTAACGTCGTCTTATTTGAATGGTAGAAAACTATGAGCAATCGATATCCAAGGTATAAATAAAACGAATGTTTCAGTGAACGATCTTGACATGAACGAAACCATCATCTTTGCATAAACACAGGGGGTGTATTGGCGGGTGAGGCGAACCGGGCGAGGGGGGTGAGGCGTCAGCTCTCCATTCATAATATTACAGATAGTGTAATGCTTTTTCAATATTACTTTCAACCTTCAATGTGTGCACGTGACAATTATACAATTCAAACTTCCATTGTAATTGAATATTTTTACAACCTTTCGTGTTTTAGCAGCAACGTGATGGTTGTAAAATGTTTCAGCAGCCATGTTCGCTACAGTCGGACTGTCAAGGAAATAATTGTGAAAATCTGAGATGTGCTCCGCAATCGACGTGTTTTGGACAAAGAAAGTGTATTGAAATAGATATCAGCGCACCAACACGTTGTCTATAAAAACTTTATCATTCATATACGAAGTGTATATTAATGAGCATTAAACAGCTAGGCAAAAAAGTTCTTATAATAGTAATTGAATGCGTGTTCGATCTTCTAAGAAAATTTAGGCTGTAATCGGGACGTTTTTGTGCGGTGTTGGGACGGTAATACCCCTATGAATAGAATCTATCCGTCACACATCACCAATTAATCCTTCTCAGTATAACACAAAAACCAAATGACTTAATAATTACTTAACATGCAGTTAATTGCTCTGCAACGATGAAATGAACTCGCAATTGTATTGGAAACTTAGGTACAATAAAACCCAGAATATATGCATTTTATGGTTTTTAAGATTTGGTCATTTCTCCCCCGACTTTCATCAACCAAGCTATAGTTTCCTGCAGATTTTTTCGCTTAGGGACATTGATTATTCGAGAAAAGTAATTACTTGAAAAAATAATAAGACTGAAAAAAATGTTAGTGCCGTTCGTTACAGTGTTTTCACCGCTGAGAACGATATAAAAGAAGCCAGAAGGAAATAACTCAGATGTCCAGAGGCCAGTTGTATAAAAGACTAGTTAACTTTCAACTGTAGTTAAGAACAGAATTGGCCAATCAGAGTTGTTTATTTCTCAGTTAACTGGGATTTAGCTATAGCTATATACATTTTTCATTGCTAACACAGTGTATGCATGGTTTTCAATAAATAGAAGCTGTAAATGTGACAGAATCCTATAGCCATTTTTACTAGAGTTACTTTACACCTATATAGTTTCTTCAACTGCTGATTCGTTTTCGCAAGAGATTCACTTTAAGTGAATATATTTTCGCCTGAATTTTGGGACATTGTACCCACCTATAGTTTATAATGATCAACATGATAGTCTCATAGTGACTCATGCATGTGTAACTGAAGTTTTTGAGAACGAAATACAACCCTATAATATATATTGTTTGACAAGTAATTCGCAATATAGCTTGCATGCATTTGGCAACATAACGTCATGAGCCCAATCGACATTTTCAGCACGTTTTAGAAGAATCAGAATAAAGTAATCAATTTTTCACAGATATCTAATATTGTCTAAATTGATTACCTGCTCTTTGCAATATAACAAACATGTGAATTATTCGGCTTATTCGTTTGAATTTTAATGAGCAAAATATAATAATAAAATTTGTTAGACTGGCTATACGATAATATATATTGAGTGAAGCCTTATTAAATTCGACTATTTCAAATATCCAGATCGAACTATAAAAGTCGAAGAAGTGAAGAAAGCCGGTCAGAAATGAAAATCTGTAACTTAAACGTTTTCTTTCTTGTTGCTGTGTTGGCGATGCCAATTCTGACGGATGCCTGGCTTGGCGGTGAGGATGCTGAGGTAATACTGGATGAGAGGCTTATTGAATAAAATAGCTAGATTATGAACGTCCTTGAATGAATATACTATAAAACTATGCGCAATCCAAGGTAGTTAGTGATAAGATTGAGTTTATACGATTTTAATAGAAAATAAAACGATTCCGTGAACAATCTTGACGTGTACGAAACCATGCATGGTGTACGAAACCATGGGGTGTATTGGAAAAAAGTTTTTATAGTTCGTACTTGACTGGCCGGTTGACCTGTATTCGTATATGAAATTATGAATTACTTTCGAATTGATTATTTTTGAATTTAGACGCCAAGTAATGGTTGTGCAATGTTTCATCAACCGTGTTCGTCAACGTCAGACTGTGAAAAATTTGGTTGTGTCAACAATCTGATATGTGCTACTACGACTTGCGGGGAAAACAAAAAGTGTATCACGGCATATCGCGGCCGACCGAGCAATGGCGGCTGCCCCCCGGCTACTCCAAAGCCATAGCGCGAGAAATAAAAACGTGTAAAATCTTTATCATGCATATGAAGTGTATATGTTTAATATAAGCATTCAACAGTCAATAAAAGTTCTTCATTGTAGATAAATGTGTGCATGATATTTATCATTGCATGGACGGTAATAGTAATACACCCATAAGGAATAAGGAGAATCTGTCTGTCAAATAATACCAGTCCATCCTAAAACAGAATTTCGTTGTACGTTGAACTCCTTTACGAATTCATTAAACCGACAGTGGATTTAACCGAGATTACTGCATACATAGTTTCATTATTTATGGTCATTCCATTCCATTAGATTCTCACAGAGCAACAGCTTTAACATGTGGAGAGCCTTCTTTAGGATTCGAGTTTTATAGTATAACCTACTTCTACCTTGTCCATTCGAACTTCGAATTCTCTAGCTGTGTTATTGTGCGATACCCGTTTTAAACTTTTGCAATGGTTTATTTATTGGGAAAAGGAAGCTCCATGAAGCCGATTTCTACTGCAAGACAATTATCTAAAATTTGATGTCCTTAAATTAGAATGGATCGTTTTATCCAGACCCGAAATCTTTAGTAAATTTTGTTTAAGGTGCATTATAATAAAAATTAATTTGGATACGTGAATCAAGATGGAAGGGTGAATAATGTAGAAATAGCAGGAAAAGGGCATAAACGAAATTTTTAGAAAACAAGAAAAAAGAAAATACAGTCTGTTAAAAACGGATATTCTATTTTGATTTTGGGTTCGGTTTTTGTTATCCTTGGAAATGATTTTAAAAAATAATCCCATCCATGCAATATCTTGCTTATTATTGTGTTTTATTGGCGTTTATTAGCATTCCTATATTTCGGTTTAATATTATATTTTTAATTTTTGAACAACCATGGTCTAATAAGTAATTAATTAAAAATAATAAGAATAGTTATTAATTAAGAATATTAAACCATGGTTTTTAATTTTTGAACAAACATGGCCTAATGAGTAAATTAAAAATAAGAAATAATTGATTAAATGTAATAAGAACAATTAGTAATTAAGAATATTAAACATGGTCTGTTGCCATAATAACTAATTTAAGAAAAGCCCCAAATTAGTTTTATTTTTGCATAAATATACACGACTAAGTCTATGTTTATGATTGAGTATGTTTAAAAAAATAATTTTATTAGCTAATAATTGTTATTACTCGAATTAATAAATGAATGTTGATAGTCGTAAAAACTGTGTGCAGTGACAGCATATAAAAGCTCGTTGAATATTCAGAAATTGATGATCATTAGAGGATCAAGATGAAATTCAGCGGCAGTGTATACCTGGTCTGTATTGTTCTTTTTGTGGTGATGCCAACGTTAACATCTGCTTGGGTTTTCGGGGTAAGTGCATAGTGCATGTCTTTACAAGGTGGAATGTAACGTAATGTGCATGAAATGCTGAAAGCCAGTTCTTTATGCGGGAAACAACCCAACGAGCAGGAACGCGTATCTGAGATTAGTGAACTATATAACTGCTCAAGCGCAAGTCATATATGTATATATGCTGCACACGCTTCATATCTTCTCGACATGCATTGATGATACTGATGAGAAGATGAAATAAATCATGCACTAACCTTGAAGATGAAATCACTTACCAATTAAGAAGCTCGTCTTCTGTCTGAAGGGATCTTTGGGTGAAGAATTGGCTGACAAGCCTAGGCATCAGGCAATTATACCATATCACACTGAAAGCACAGTGAAACCAATAGTCAAAGTTTTCTAATATATAGTAACCGTAGCTTCATGTTCAAATATAAAATGATTGATAGTGCACATATTTCATTGTCACTGTTTCCAAAGACAGATCACGACTACGCCGTAGAGATTTTTCGTAATATATTATATAAAATACATTCTATAGTAAGATAATGATTAAGTTTGATTAGGAAAGATTCATTTTGATTAAATTGTCAATCGACTAAGACTATATGTAATCGCTCGTTACCTGAAGAGTGGATCTCTACAGCTATCTCTGAATTCAAACAATTGCTGATATAGGTCCTCGCTATATCTCTCTCTCTGACTAACGACTAAAGACAATCTACTGTGCATGCGTTTTGTTACTTGTAATTGGAACCGACATCCTGTTCATACTATCGTCAATCATATATGTTAATCATTGATGTAAATCAAGGTGTAATCAAGTTAAGGAATCAATTAGATATAATAAGTAAGTAAAGTAAGTTAGGCTGTCTGAAACAACCCTCCGGGCCTCTGTTAAAGAGATTCCTCTTCTAATATCATGCAGCATTTCTGTACTGACCGTTTATAAGTTCCCGTCTTCGTCTTCACGATTACGTTTCTTACCACACCGTCTTGTCCCGGCATAACCTCGACGATACGTGCCATGTTCCACCTCCCGCGTGGGAGATTGTCGTCTACCAACATTACGATGTCATTGACCTTTGGCTGTCTCTTCTTTTGCCTCCACTTTGTTCGGCGCATCAAACTCTGCAGATACTCCCGTTGAAACCGTTGCCAAAACTGCTGGATTAATGACTGAACATATTCTTGGAATGGACCTTGTGGTGTCTCTGATGTGGCACGTCCTAAGATGAGGTGGTTTGGTGTCAGCGGCTGCAAGTCGTTGGCATCATTGGATGGATATCCAAGAGGTCGGGAATTAATCAAGCATTCTACCTCTGCAAACACTGTCGCCATGTCGTTCCATGACAACGTTTGTTGACCAACGATGGCCTTCAGTGCGGATTTCGTCAACTTCACCATGCTCTCGAAAAATCCTCCTTGATGGGGGCTTGCGGGCGTGTTGAACTTCCATTTCAGCTTATGTGATACGGCAAAGTCTTCCAGGTTTTTCCTTCCTTCTTTTAGAAGTTT